ATGATGAGATCCGAGATGAGAATGATGAAACGGGTCCTCAAGCTGAAGAACAGCTGAGATATCCAACTCGAGAAAGAAGACCCTCTACGAGATACCTATCTGATGAATACACCGTTGTTGCTGAAGACGGTGAGCCTCAGAGTTATGATGAGGCTGTGACGAGCTCAGAGAAAGAAGAATGTTAAAAGGCAATGCAAGACGAGATGAAGTCTCTGCACGAGAATTAGACTTATGAGCTGACCGAGTTGCCTGAAGGAAGACGAGTTCTGAAAAACAAAGGGGTTTACAAGATTAAGAATGAAGAGAACGGGAAAAAGCCGAGATACAAAGCCCGGATTGTAGTGAAAGGCTGCAATCAGAAAAAAGGAGTAGACTTTGAGGAGATTTTTTCTCCTGTGGTGAAAATGACCTCGGTCCGAACCGTGTTAGCCATGGCGGCTTCGATGGACCTCGAGGTAGAACAAATGGACGTGAAGACGACATTTCTTCACGGTGATTTAGAAGAAGAGATATATATGGAGCAAGCAGAAGGGTTCCAAGCTCCAGACCAAGAAAACTTGGTATGTCGGTTGAAGAAGAGTCTCTATGGCTTGAAGCAAGCACCTCGGCAGTGGTACAAGAAGTTTGAATCATTCATGACTGATCATAAGTTTGAGAAGACTGAAGCCGACCACTGCGTATTTGTGAAGAGGTATGAGGCAGGAGACTTTCTGATTTTGTTGTTATATGTTGACGACATGCTTATTGTAAGGAAAGACAAATCGAGGATAGCCGCCCTGAAAATGGCGTTGAGCTCGTCCTTCGCAATGAAGGACCCCGGCCTTGCAAAGCAGATTCTCGGAATAAATATTATCCGAGATAGACAGAAGAAGCTACTGTGGCTGAGTCAAGAGAAGTACGTTGAGAAGATTCTGAAGAGATTCAGCATGGACAAAGATGAGATGATGAAGGTCCCTTACCAATCCGTCGTCGAAAGCTTGATGTATGCAATGGTTTGCACTAGACCCGACTTGGCGTATGCTGTTGGAATGGTAAGCCGGTATTTGTCAAACCCCGGCAAAGAGCATTGGGAAGCAGTGAAGTGGATCTTCAAGTACCTCTGAGGTACGACCGACTTATGTCTCCGATTTGGAGAAGGCAAAGCCGAGTTGCAAGGCTACTCGGATTCTGATTTAGGGGGAGACGCCGACTCGAGGAAGTCGACTACATGATATTTGATGAGATTTGCCGGAGGAGCTGTCTCCTGGAAATCAAGACTTCAGAAATGTGTTGCACTATTGACAATTGAGGCTGAGTACATTACCGCTACTGAGGCAAGCAGAGAGATGCTGTGGATGAAGAAGTTCCTCATAGAACTCAGCTATGATCAAGACAAGTATGAGCTGGGTTGTGACAATCAAAGAGGAATCCATCTTGCGAAGAATTCGACCTATCACTCCCGCACTAAGCATATTGATGTGAGGTATCACTGGATTCGGGATGTGGTGGAAGGTGGAGAGCTCAAACTCGTCAAAGTGCACACTGACCAAAATTGGTCCTACATGATGACGAAGCCGGTTCTAGCAAGAAAATTTGAAGACTGCTGTGAAGGAGCCGGGTTGATGCTGAGGCCGACGCATTGAAGTCGGAGGGGGAGATTTGTTGGGCTTCCTCCTTCAATGCTAAGCCCAAACCCATTTGAGGGGTTTCCTAAAAACCCTAACCCTAATTTCCACCTCTCTATATATACTTATTAGTTGTGGGTGGACGTTAGGTCAGATTGAGAGAACAAATTTGAGAAAAAAATTATTTGATTGTTTAAGCAAAGCTTTATGCTTTGTATTTGAGAGATCTCTAGAGAGAGTTTGAGTGAAACATCTCTAGGGTAGTTTGATTATCACCATTGTTGGAGAGGTTGAGTTAACCACCACATTGGTGTATTTGATTCTTTGTAACCATTATTTTCATAGTGGATTTTTGATCTGAGCTAGGTCCCGTGGGTTTTTACTTCTTCATTGAAGAAGGTTTTCTCACGTTAAATTTGGTTGTGTTCTTCTTCTCTCTCTCCTGTTTTCGTTTTGATTTTCCGCTGCGCTGCCTGATCTGGTGAAATTCAGGCCGAGGTATTGCCGAGATCCGAGATCAGGATCTTGTTGATTGACTTCCGCACAAAGGCTGCTTAGCCGAGCTTGAGGGAACCGAGTTTTCCCAACAACAATGTAGGTTAGAGGCATTAATGCATCAATGATGATGAATGATTCTTCATATTAAAAAGAGAGTGATAAGTCAACTTGACTAGAAAGGTAATCGGTGGGAACATAATTGAATTGGTCTATGTTGTTAATTATAATCGATTGAGTGTGCATTGAATTTGGATATATTGCTTCTTTAACTGCTGGATTAGATTGAACTGGATAACTGATTTGATGAAGGAATTAATGACAATTTCTCTGAATGCTACTAGTAATTATGATTTGAGGTAGAGTAGGTGAATACAATATTTTGAGAACCAAATCTCAATTGGTTAGTTGACTGATGAACTGAAAAGTTAAAAAAGGGAAAACAACTAACAATTGCTTGATAATTCCGTGTTTGCTTGAGGAGAAGCAAATGCGAAGTTTTGGTATTTTGTTAGTGGTGAATTTTACTCACCTTAACAACAATATTTCTATGTTACTTGGGCTGAAAATAGTTTAATAGTTCAGATTAATGGGCCAAGAACATGATAATTAAAATCTTGATTTAAATATGTGTTTTTATGATTTTTTTAAATCAAAATTATTTTATCAAAATTCTAAATATTTTTACGTTTTTATAATTTTTTATGATTTTTTTTATATTAAAATTTTACTTTTTATGATTTTTTATCCTCTTCTAATTTTAAAGGTAAAATCTCAATTTTAACTATTATGACCAAAAGAGTAAGAATACGGTCAATTAAGGTAAAAGGTAAAAAAAAAAGGCAATTTGATGATTTTACGTACCTTTGTTACCAGTCTACTACAGATAGAAGGCCACGTGACGGCTACTGAAGTGAAAGGGATGTGGACTGCTAGATAAAGAAAGAGGAAATAAAAGGGCAGCAGTGATCTATCTATGGCTTGGATTTAGTTTGAGTGTTTAGCTAGAAACATAAACTTTTAAGTCTTAGTAAATTTTCTTAAGTTTTTTGAGTTCAATTAGTTTTTAGAAGTTTTTTTCTATTATGAATTTTCGAGTTTTTTTGGAGAGGTTATACTTACGACTTATTTTCCGGTCCTCAGTAAATTTTATGATGCCCGCTTTAGTTCCTCGCAAATAAAAAGGTTATTCGTGTTCCTAAAAAATTCAAAGTGGATCCATTTTAGTCTTTTTTGAGGGTGGGTCTTTTTTGAATTTGTGAAGGATCACGATTTCAACTAAATGGGTCTATTTTAAATTTCTTAAGGATCACAAATAACTTTTTTATTTGCTAAAGATTAAAACAGATATAGTGAAATTCGACGAGGAAAAAAAAAAAAAAAAAGAAAGATATTTACTCTTTATTTTAAGCTTTGTAAGCACGCGAGTAAGGAACCATTCTTGGAAGATAACCCATGAAGATCTCAGCATTTCGATTCTGAATCTGAAGATTTTAACTTTCTCTTGTTAATCATTTTCTTTTCGAGCACATTAAATTTCGAAGAACCGGTCTTTTCAATGCATGGTAATTTCAGTTTCAGATTTTTCTTTTCCATTTGTTGATATCATGAATTTCTAAATTTCTAGCTGGGATTCTAAATGATTGGAAAGTACTTTTTTTTAGAACACTATTATGCATGATTCTTGCATTTTGATTAGCAATTTTGTTTCAAGAAGCATGAGAGTGGTTCTTGCATTACTTTCTTCGTAAATTGTGGATTAAAAAATTAGGTGTATGAAATCTTGTTAATCTAGAACTTCAAGGTTAGGGATAATCTGAAGTAGAAACTGGTCATTAGTCTATTAAAGATCTGATTTAAATACTTTGAGAAAGGATTTGATTAGGTTCAAAGTCTGGAATTGGGAAATTCCAGATAAGGTGCTTTGGTAGTTCATTTTTTGCAAGAAAAGTGCTGTAGCAGTGTGTATGTGCAGGGATGAGAATTGAAAAGGGGAATTCGTGATTTGAGAATTCCAGAGGACATGATCATTGTTTGTTGAATTCATATTACAGTTACCTTACTGAGTTTAATCTGATTGAAATTTAGTTAATTGAATTTCATATTAAAATGGGCGTTTACAACTTTTTTTATTTACAACTCTTACAATCTCAATTATATTCCCCTGGGAGTACAGTGGAGAAGATAGTTAAGGTTGTAAGAGTTGTAAAAAAAAAAGTTGTAAACATAACACTCTCCTTACAAAATTGATTTACTTTCAAACCAAGAAACTAAGATAGGAATAGAAGAGAAACGATCATAATCAATTTTTGATTCCTATACTACTGAAGTGTTTGTTAGCATTAGTCACATTAGCAAATTTAAATTCCTGTTTTACAAAATTAATTCCTAACAGTTCGCAACAACAATCACAATTGATTTTCTCACTTCATCCTTTGGAATATTGTTCAACACATTTTTAATCAATCAAGCATTACTATAAGAGACCTAATTAAACATGCCAACGCCCTGCACCGAATTGTGCTTTATCGGCTAACTGAGTTACATTGACAATCTTATATGTATTTTATATGCTTGAGCTCCTCAACTGACCAACTACAAATATAACTAACCAATTGTATTATTTATCAATCGTATCAACCCTTCTCTTTTCTTCAGCTTTGTTATTTTCTCCTTGGCCAGCCTCTGTTATGCTATGGTTATATTTACAATCGCATTATTGTTTCAATTTTGTCTTCGTCAAGGAAGACAAAATTATTTTATTCTCGAATGTCAGATAATTCAATTCATTCATAAAAAAGGTGTACCGACCTGAATTATAATGTTTGATGCAAATGTCAAAGCTATGCTTTAAGATTTTGGCAAATGGCAGAACATATTGTAACTCAAGGGACGTCGACATACTAGCAGAGCCTAATTCATTCTTGCTTTATGTAAAATATAAAATAAAATAACATAACATTACAAATAGATTATGGGTTTATCATCTATCATTTAACATGACCATAAAAAATTTTCTACACACACAACATTTTGTGGGGCCCGCAGCAAAAAAAAAAAAAAAACTTCGGCGCGCAAAACGAATCTCTATAACATAACACAATCACTTTTCCTACAACATAACTCTTATAAAACCCATAGATTATATATAAAAACACTATCATATCAAAACGTTTATTGAAACACTTAATGATCTGCAACATCTTATATTGTACACTTCAATGCTGCATGTTTTATACTTCCAGCAACCCGTTACGCTTTCATCCTAGAGTGTAGCTGATCTGCAATAAACTGCACATTTTAGGGTACAGTTCAGATTCAGAGTACAGATATTAATGGTGATAGAGAAAAAAGTTGAAAGAAATTTTTTAGCGATAAACTAAATCAAACGGAAAATGTAGTTAGTCATTGGAGAACTAAAAAGTATATAACTATAGGCACATTTTAAGAGGCCTAGAGAAGCAGCTAAAAAGAAAAAAAGACAATTCTAACTTAAATACACAAACTCTAATTTTTTTTACAAACAGAAAATAATCATTTCTTGGAGAAGTAATTGCCATTACTAGAGGCGTGAATTCTCAAATAGTACCATCAAACATAGCTTAAATTTCTTAACATGATGCAGAAATTGGTAAAAGCCAATATGTGTGTGACAGAGAGAGAGAGATGCAAGTAAGTGATATATACCACTTAAAGCACTGGCAGTAGTTTTACCCCCCAAAAAAAAAGCAGCAGCAATACCTGTAGAAATTAGGATTGGCTATAACGAAGAATTAAATAAAAAATTTCTAGCAATTAGATTCAAGTAATATGAGCATTTTTTTAAGACAAATTCTGCCTTTTGCATAGAAGTAGAAATTATTAATTTATGTAACTACAACAGAGAAAAAAATATTAAGACCTGAAAAGAAAGAAGTTATTAAAATTATGTACCTGCTAGCCCGTGAGCCACCTGCGGCATCTTGTCATATTTACTGCAATCATTACATATACATAGTCGGTCAATCTGTTCAAGAACCTTATGTAAGCAATTCTCCAAGGTCGCCAGAGTAGTATTGGCCCTAATAAGCCCCAAAAACCTGTGAAGAATCCTAACCCCATGCTCATGTATAATGCTTCATAGAAAGCTGAATTGTCATTTTCACCATGAACAGCGGATCCTTGAGGCTTTCCCTTTGTCTCATCTTCCGGACAGGTTTTGTTAAGTTGTTCACCACAAAGATTCAGATTTCCTTCAAAACTAGAGGCATCAAAAGTCTGCAATTGTCTTCCAAAAGGGATTCTTCCAGAGAGAGAGTTGTTTGATAAATCTAACACACCAAGATCATCAATTTTGGAAAGAGTGGATGGAATTTTTCCAGAAAAATGATTTCTTGATAAGTCAAGAAATTCCAAAAAACTTAAATTCCCAATCTCTGGAGGGATTTCTCCACTCAAATTGTTTCTTGATAAATTCAAAGAAACTAAGCCAAGCAAATATCCAACCTCTTTTGGTATTTCACCATTTAAATTATTACTTGAGAAATCAATGCTCTTAAGACTCATCTGTGGATCTTTGAACCCATGCTCCACACCTTTCCAAGTCAACGTAATGTTAAGCTTATAATCACCCAACTTGGAAGTGCTATAAATTTCAAGGTAAGCACTAGTGTGCCATAATATATGACTTTGAGTTTCACTTGAGTTGATGCTCTTCTCAGACATTGCAGTAAAATTGTTTATGCATGTGGGAATTCCTTCTGATAAGTTATTCCTTGAAAGATCCAACAGTTGAATATGCCTTAAATAACAGAGATGAATAGGAAGATTTCCAGATAAGCCATTACCTCGAATACTCAAGATGATCAATTGCTGCATATTTTCCCCTATCCATGATGGTATTGGACCGGACAACAAATTTTCACCCACATCCAACATAATTAAATTACTGCAATTCTTCAAAGTGGAAGGTAGTTCACCCATTAAACTGTTGTTTCGTAAAACCAAAACTTCCAAATTTACAAGTGTGCCCATAGACGGTGGAATCCTCCCTGACAACTTGTTATTGCTTAAATCAAGAAATAATAATGAGTTTACATATTTCCAACAATCTGGCAGCTGTCCCTTTATTTGATTGTTTGATAAATCTAAAGTGGCCAAGTTTGCAGTTGCACTTTTGTCACACAGGAATGAAAATAAATCTGAAAAATTATTATGGGAAAGTGTAAGTTCTGAAGCTTGTAGCAGAAAAGATGGAACTGCACCCCCAAATTGGTTTGAATTCAGAGATATAGACGGTTTGATAGGAAGCTTGAATGGTAAATTGGGAATTGCACCTGTCAGACTATTATGAGACATATTCATCCATTTAATGGATTGAGAGTTGTCCCAAAACCATTCTGGTACAATGTCATTAATCCCAGCATCAGAAATATCCAAATAGAATAAGAAGCTCTGAGTTTGGAGCCATCTCGGAAAACTCGGACCCAACTTGCAAGATGCAAGATACAAGTATCTTAATTTGAAAGGAGGAACCCAGCTTGACCCAAATTTTAGAGACAGTGAGCTGTATGATAAGTCCAACTCCGTTAATTTGGAAAAATTAGAGAGATGAGATTCAGTGACGTCACCCTCCAAAGAATTCCCCCTCAGAGACAAATCCTCCAACTCTGATAGTAACCCAATGCTTTTAGGGATCATGCCAGTAATTCGGTTATAAGATATATCCAATGTCTGTAAGATGCAACATGAAGAATTCTGCATGAAGCTAGAAAGATCCCCACTCAAGGTGTTATTTGAGAGGTATAATGTCTGTAAGCTGCACATATTCCCAAAGGAGGTTGGAATCTCTCCTTGCAGTTTGTTAGAAGATAGATCAAGATATTCAAGAGAGTTCATTACTTTCCCAAATTCTTCTGGAATGGGACCTTCTAACAAGTTCCCAAAGAGGTAAAGGCTACGAAGATTGGTGGTGAAGTTAAAAAGCCAATGGAATATAGCAGATGAAGTCAGCAAGTTATAAGAAAGATCAAGGGAGACAAGAGAAGATGAAAAGTTCATACTAAAGGCAGGTGGTACAAGAAAACTTCTATCCAAAAGACTACAGTTTTGTAGATAAAGCTTTTGAAGTTTGGAGCTGAAGTTGAAATTATCTTGAAGCATTGATAATGTCAGATTATTAAAGGAGAGGTCAAGGGTCACGAGAGAAGGGAAGTTTGGATAGAGAAGAGATGACAAAACAAAATTATTATTAGAAAGATAAAGCTCCTCGAGATTAAGGCTATTGTTTGACAGCAATTGAAATGTTGATGATGTCAGCATATTGTAAGAGAGATCAAGGATGGTGAGAGAAGTGGAAAAGTTGGAATGAAAACGAAACAGAGATGGAATATCATAATCTAAAAGACTACATTCAACTAACCTCAACTCTCTTAAGTTTGGAATAAGCTTACTGATCCTTTGCAGCCAGCGATGAGAAGAGCCAAGATTAGGAAATGACCTCAGCTCAAGATTTGTTAAGGAATGGAGATTAGAGAACCACTCTGCATCCTTAGTTTGGACATCAAAATCTCCACCGAGCCTAAGAGTATTCAAGATAGGAAGATTCCCAATTTGAAAAGGGATTGCTCCAGAAAATGAATTTCCTCCAAGATCAAGATACTGAAGTTCTGAGAGATTTCCAATTTGATAAGGGATAGCTCCATAAAGTGAATTTCCTCCAAGATCAAGATAACGTAGTTGTCTGAGATTCCCAATCTGCAAAGGTATTACTCCAGAAAGATAATAATTTCCTCCAAGATCAAGATGTTGCAGTTGTGAGAGATTTCCAAGCTGATAAGGAATCCTCTCGTAAAAGTTAGAATAAGAGAGATTGAGATACCTTAACTTGGTGAAGGAGCCCATGAGTTCTGGGATGTAACTGTGCAAAAAATCACTATAGCTGAGGTCCAAATATTCCAAATAGTGCAAGTCAATCAATGGAGTGATATTGATTGCACCTCTCAAATATTGCAAATTGTGACCACGAAGATCAAGCGTAAGTACATGACCTGTTTCATTGTTGCATTCAATACCTCTCCATTTGCAACAATCTCCCCCCTTCCATGTAGACAGCTTGCCATAGAGATCATCGAGGCCTTGCACGAAGTTGAGGAGTGCTTGTCTTTCCCTCTCAATGCACTTTACTTGTTCACTAATTTTACTAGGCAGGTTGAATCCGAGAGTAGAACTTGAGGTACGCAATAAAAGCAGCACCAGCAATGCATAAAACATTTTAAGAAAGTAATTGCGCATGATGATTTTTCTGATTTGTATATTCACTGCAATAACAGCTCTTAGATGCCAAGATTCAAAACTCGACAATAGGATATATATAGAAGGGATTCACACTTGTCAGGTCTTACTTTTTCAACCAATTTTTCATGGCAAGAATTAAAACTCCACTAGCAGGATGTATATATAAGCGAATCAAGTACAAACGCGTGGGACACACCAAGAGAAAATCCGCGTAGTGACATACAGCAGAATTTTTCTCGTTCACACTTGTCACTTGTATGAAGTTGAGGAGTGCTTGTCTTTGTCTCTCAATGGCAATGCACTTTTCTCTTTTTTTTCAGTCAACCTAATACTAATTATGTCTTTGAGAGTGCTTTTCCACGAGTTTTCACTTTTTTTAATTGACTATTGGAGTTATCCAGAATATGGAGCAAGTCAAGATGAGGAAATTTAAATATCTTCCAAAAATAATATGTGGGATCGAATCGAGACACTTTCTAACGCTGAACCAGTAATTTATTGGCTAAACAGAAAGAAGAACTAAACAAGGATTGTGAAAAAATGCTATTTCTCTTTTCTTAATTTTATTTAACCAAAAACAACCCAACTTAAATAGGCAAAAATAAAATAACAAAAAAAAGTAAATAATTATAATCATGTGCAATCAAAGTAGATAACGCACAATCAACGCATACTCAAACATAATCTAAAATAACTAGCAATTATTAAAAATCTCTAAATAAAAAAATAAATTATGAAAAAGCCAATCCATGCGAGTCACACGAGTAAATTATGAAAAAACCAATCCATGCGAGTCACACGAGTGCATCACTTTTCTTTCTATTTACTTCTTCCCTTTTAATGGGCAAGTTGAATCCGAGAGTAGAAATAGAGATATGCAACTAAAGCAGTAGCAGCAATGCATAAAACATTTTAAGAAAGTAAATGCTCATTATCTATATTAACTGCAATAACAGGGCTGTGTATGGGTCAGGTCGGGTCAGGTTTTTGTCTGACTCGACCCAACTTGGTTTTTATAGGTCAGGTATTTTGACTCGACCCGCTTTAATTTGATCCAAGTCAGGTCTGACTTGGATTGGATTTTGTTGAACTAGTTCAGAACCAGTTCGGATCTGACCTGACTTGGTTTCTGAAGTGGGTCTTGGTTTCTGAACTGGGTCAAATCTGACCTGACCCGTTTTTCACTTGGTTTTCTCACAAAATTTTGTCGCAATTTTTACGTTGCAAAAGACAAAAATTTCGTCACAAAATTATTTTTTCGTCGAAATTTTTACAAAAAAAAATTTTCTATTGAAATTTAGTTTCCGTCAACAGTTTTGACGAAAATGATTTCTTCCATCAAATGTTTTAAACGAAAAAAGAATTTTGTCAAAAAATTTAACGGAATGTTTTTCGTTCAAAATTTCGATGGGAATGTGTTCTGACAAAAATTATTTCGAGGGAAATGTTTCATTTGAAACTTTCGACGAAATTTAGATTCTCTAAAGAATTTTGACACAATATTTTTTTCGTCAAAATGTTTTTTTTGTCAAAAAAATTTACGGAATTTTTTTATAGAAATGTGTTTTGTTGAAAATTTTGATGGAAATTTTTTATCAAAAAACTTGACGAAAATATTTAGTTGAAAATTTTCGATGGAAATGTGTTTCGCAAAAAATTTTGACGAAATTTTTTTTATTGTGAAAAAATTTATCGTCCAAAACTTTCGCCGAAATTTAAAATCTGTAAAGAATTTTTTTGCAGTCAAAATTTTTTGCCGTCAAAATTTTTTGATGACGAAAATGTTTCCATCGAAAACTTTCGCCAAAATTTGAAATCTGTAAAGAATTTTGATGAAATTTTTTGCCGTCAAATTTTTTTGATGACGAAAATATTTCCGGCGAAAATATTCGCAAAAATGTGAAATCTGTAAAGATTTTTTATGAAATTTTTTGCCGTCAAAATTTTTTGATGACGAAAATATTTCCGTTGAAAACTTTTGCCGAAATTTGAAATCTGTAAAAAATTTTAATGAAATTTTTTGCCGTCGAAATTTTTTGATGACGAAAATATTTCCGGCGAAAATTTTCGCAAAAATGTGAAATCTGTAAAGATTTTTTATGAAATTTTTTGCCGTCAAAATTTTTTGATGACGAAAATATTTCCGTCGAAAACTTTTGCCGAAATTTGAAATCTGTAAAAAATTTTAATGAAATTTTTTGCCGTCGAAATTTTTTGATGGAAATGTGTTTTGTTGAAATTTTCAATGGAAATTGTTTTGAGGAAAATGTTTCTTTTGAAACTTTCGACGAAATTTAGATTCTCTAAAGAATTTTGACACAATATTTTTTTCGTCAAAATGTTTTTTTTGTCAAAAAAAATTACGAAATTTTTTTATAGAAATGTGTTTTGTTGAAAATTTTGATGGAAATTTTTTAACAAAAAACTTGACAAAAATATTTAGTTGAAAATTTTTTATGGAAATGTGTTTCGCAAAAAATTTCGACGAAAATTTTTTTTGTTAAAAAATTTATCGTCGAAAACTTTTGCCGAAATTTAAAATCTGTAAAGAATTTTTTTGCTGTCAAAATTTTTTGCCGTCAAAATTTTTTGATGACGAAAATGTTTCCGTCGAAAATTTTCGCCAAAATTTGAAATCTGTAAAGATTTTTTATGAAATTTTTTGCCGTCGAAAGTTTTTGCCATCAAAATTTTTTGATGACGAAAATATTTCCGTTGAAAACTTTTGCCGAAATTTGAAATCTGTAAAAAATTTTAATGAAATTTTTTGCTGTCGAAATTTTTTGATGGAAATGTGTTTCGTTGAAATTTTCAATGGAAATTGTTTTGAGGAAAATGTTTCATTTGGAACTTTCGACGAAATTTAGATTCTCTAAAGAGTATAGACAAAATATTTTTTCTGTCAAAATTTCTTATCGAAATATTTTTGTCAAAAAATTTTACGAATTTTTTTTACAGAAATGTGTTGCGTTGAAAATTTTGATGGATATGTTCTTTATCAAAAAACTTGACGAAAATATTTAGTCAAAATTTTTTGATAGAAATGTGTTTCACTAAAAATTTCGACGAAATTTTTTATTGTCAAAAAGTTTAACGAAAATATTTCCGTCGAAAACTTTCGCCGAAATTTGAAATCTGTAAAGAATTTTGATGAAATATTTTTTCGTCAAAGAATTTCGATGAAAACCTGTTTCGTCGAAAGTTTTTATGAATATATTTTTTTGTGAAATATTTTGACGAAATTTAGATTCCGTAAAAAAATTTGACAAAAAAATATTCTGTCAAATTTTTTTACCGATATGTTTTTAGTCACAAATTTTGATGAAAATATTTTGCGTCAAAAATTTTTATGAAAATATTTTCCATAAAAAATTTTGATGTAATTGTTTTACTTCTTTTAATGTAATTGTGATTTTTTTTTCACATAATGGGTATGGGTCAAGTTTTGGGTCATTGGGTCAATATTAAAACGAGTCAAGTCTAAAACTGACCCAAATAAAAGTGGGTCAGTATTTAAACCAGTTCAAAAAATATGGATATTTATGAGTCGGGTCAAGGTCGGATCAAGGACAGAGCAAGTGAACCAGTTTTTTTGCACACCCCTAATAACAGCTCTTTACATGCCATGATTCAAAGCTCCACAGCACGATATATATAGAAGAGATTCAATCCGCGTGGTTTCACACATGATTCTGTAGAGCCAAATTGATCATAAAGTGGGACAAATTGTTTTATCATGTAACCAATTTTTTTCAGTTAATATATAGAAGAGATTCAATCCGCGTGGTTACACTTTTCCTTTTTTTTTTTTTTGGAGTTACCCAACCCTAATTATCTCTTTGAGACGAGTTGGCTCCCTCCGGTATCCCCACGAGCTTCGACTCTTTGAGCCGGCTATGGAACTAATCCGGAGTGCGGGGGAACTGTTACACTTTTCCTTTCAGTTAAAAAATATATTTCCAGTTAATATATTTTATGAACAATTATATCAGGTAACCAAATTTTTCAAAAGACTTAAGTAGGCTTCTATTTATTTATTTATTTATTTTGTACTTGAATTTATTTATCTTATTTGATAAATGAAGGTGGCAAGGATGGAGCACTAGCTAGATTCCCGTCGTAAATTCTACGAAAAAGTTCAAATCTCATGTGTTTTACTTCTGAATGTGCTTTTTTTAATCATTTATCCCTCATGTGTTTTTTTCCATCCAAATCCCTCCTTAAGAGTATTAGGGTTTCTAACTAATATGATCTGGCATTCTTTATGCATAAAGTGGATGTGTAGAGAGGATAAATTGTTAAATTTCTATCATCCTTTATGCATAATTAAAGTTTGGGATAGGATATTATTGTCTGTATTTAATTACTCCCCATGTTTAATACATTATATTATTTTCACTTTTGTATCATTATGATTTTTCATATTTAATTCTTTCAATTTAAATATGAAGAATTATAACCATACAAAGATAAAAATAAATATAACCGTTGAATCAATATAATCGATCTAACGGTGAAATTAATTGTAGTAATATTGATAGTAACACTACTAGCTTGGTTGTTGCAATATTCTTTTCCTTAATTAAAATTTAATTTCTGAACTTCAAAATTAAAGTTTAATTTTACTTTGAATTATCAGTTTTTAGTTTTCTCAAGTATTTACTCAATTTAAAAAATAGATTCGTCGCGTCTTAAACATTATCTAAATGTTTAATTTTAATCACAAATTATTTGATTATGAAAATTAAATGTTGAATGTTTCAATATGGGAATTTGATTTTTGAAATTGACATCCACACTGTCACTTCGTGCAGAATAAGTATGTGGTTAGCTTTTGTTATCTAGATGATTGTTTTATTATGAGTCTTCCAACCCATTTTGTAAGTTAGAAAATTAACCAGCGGGTCAATCACGTCAAGAAGGAAAATTATACAGGGATGGCAAGTAGTGCCAAGACTTTTAAGTTGTTTTATTATATCAAACCATAATAACTCCAAAACCAAAAAAGAACACATACTGGTTTATAGTGAGTCAGTGACATCGGTTATTGTTTTCTTCTCATTTTTCTAACGTGCTATGTAATGTAGAAAATAAAGCAAATCAATCACATC